AGAAAGAAAGAAAGAAAGAAAGAAAGAAAGAAAGAAAGAAAGAAAGAAAGAAATATACTGTCCACTTCACCAGTACAGCAACTCTGGGCGGCTTGCAAATGATACAAAGATAAAACATTAAACAAAAAAAATAAAAGAGTTATGTAAAAACTAAAACAAAGGGGATGGGTGGCATGGGGTGAGGTCTTCTTACCCCAACCACATCCAGCAAAGAGAGGGCCCTTAGGGGCCCCATGCCCAAACCAGGTTTTGAGGCCCTTCCCGAAGGCCAAGAGGGTGGAAGCAGATCTCGCTTCCACCAACAGAATGTTCCACAAGGCAGGGGCCACAATGGAAAAGGCCTTCTCCTTGACCCCATCAACTGAGATTCCTTAGCAGGCAGGGTCTCTTTGGTTGGCGTTAGTTGGGCAGGCTAATCCCATTTGGGTTGAGGTGGCTCTGCAAATATCCCAGACCCCAGCCACAAAGGGTCCTAAAGGTCATGACCAACACCTTGAATTGGACCTGGAAGTGAACCGGTAACCAGTGCAGTCTGTACAATTAATAAACGAGCTGTGGGTTCCTTGGTGCTCTCTGAACTTGGTTGTTTCCTTGCAGATGTTTCATTTACCCAGCTAGGTAGCTTCATAAATGCAATATGTATTAGCTTGTTTGCCTGAGTTGGTAGTTCTTTGATTGGGATAGGATTTACTTCTTGATTGTAGGGAATTGTGGCCAGGATGGGTGGCAAACAAAGGTAATCAATAAGTAAATAAAATAAAATCTTGGTGCTAATCTCTGCTTCTATGGGTGCTGATTGCTGGTGAAGAGGAGCTTTGGTCTTTGTGTTTCCTGAAGTAACAACAAAAAAGCAGCCAATCTGACAGCAAACACCACCCCTTCTAGCACACAAGCTCATAGAGCATCAAGGACCCCACAATTCATTCCTGAGCTACAAATATTCTCTTCCATTAATAAATGAGCACTAGGCTTTCAGCTTATTTCCTTCCCAAAATTTTGTATGTTAACTTCTTACCGCTTTGATCGTAAGTTTATTAAAGAATGTATCAATGAATTTATCTTTTATCTTTCAATGAATTTATCAATGAATCTTTCTTTCTTAATACTTCACGTGAAGTATTAATACCACTTTACAATGCCTTGGTAAGGATACACTTGGAATACTGCATCCAGTTTTGGCCACCACGGTGTATATAAGATATTGAGACTCTAGAAAGAGTGCAGAGAAGAGCAACAAAGATGATCAGGGGACTGGAGGCTAAAACATAGAAGGAAAGGCTGCTGGAATTGGATATGTCTAGTTTAACGAAGAGAAGGATGAAGGGGGGACATGATAGCAGTCTTCCAATATCTCAGGGGGTGCCCCAAAGAAGAGGGAGTCAAGCTATTTTCCAAAGCGCTTGAAGGCAGGACAAGAAGCAACGGATGGAAACTGATCAAGGAGAGAAGCAACCTAGAACTGAGGAGAAACTTCCTGACAGTTAGAACAATTAACCAGTGGAACAACCTGCCTCCAGAAGCGGTGAATGCTCCAACACTGGAGGTTTTTAAGAAGAGACTGGACAGCCATTTGTCTGAAATGGTGTAGGGTTTCCTGCCTGAGCAGGGGGTTGGACTAGATGACCTCCAAGGTTCCTTCCAACTTTATTATTATTATTATTATTATTATTATTATTATTATTATTATTATTATTATTATTATTATTATTATTATTATTATTATTATTATTATTATTATTATTATTATTTCTGAATTGACCTGTGCTTTAAATGGCTTGACAGCTGTCCTCTGATGATTACTTTATCTTCTGATCTCCCTTTAGGGTGCTGACTGTGTCCGGATCTCACCTGAAGCTCCATTACAGGTGAGTCCCTTTGTCTCCAAGGAGACTCATGAGAACTTGGCATCTTCTGCTTTTTCCTCTTTTCCTTCTGTATCTGCGTTGCCATCCTAAGCCTTCCTTGTTTGTTTTTCAAGTGTGCTGAAGGCCCACAAGGGGAGAAGGGAGACCGAGGAGAAAAGGTAGGTATGCCTTTACCAAAATATGAGAAAACCAAACAAAACCAAACAAAAAAAATGTTTTATTTAAGCCTCTCCCTGTTCTTTCTCTTCGCCTTTAACAGGCCTCCGATTTTCACACAAATCCCTTTCTCTGCATTCCAACAGATTTAACTCAGGAAGGATTTGGTCAATATTGGCTTAAGATATTATGATTTACTTTTGAAACATACTCTGCTTGTAAAGCAAGCCTTAACTTGGGGGAAAGTATGAGGAAGAAAATCCCAAACATTCTTTGGGTGATGTTGGCCCAGACATACCTGCGAAGACCAGCAGCTCTGAAAAATGGGCTGCAAGAACCTTGATTCTGTGGGACATGTGATGTTCCAGGAAGGGGGAAATGGAGTTGTTTCAGTCCAAATGTAGCCCTGGCACAGGAGAAGAAGGCTTCAGATTGGGCAAGTTGCCTTCTGGGGCTGCTTCCTCTTAGGGTTTTTTGTGTCTTTTTTGTTGTCTCCTTTTTTCCCCACTTAACCTAACAGCATCCATGGCTATGTTCACACAATATGCCTATCATGTAATCACTGAACATTCTGGGGTTTGCAGACTACCTTGAACCATAAACTATACTACCCAAAAAGGCTGCTGTCATACAACATAATAAGAGTGTCACACACACACACACACACACACACACACACACACAAAAGCAACCAAAGTTAATCAAGGTAACTTGCAGAATGAAGGAGCATCCAGCTTTGAAACTGACTTCATAACAACCGTGGTGTGAACAGGACTTGTTTGCGTGTTCTTTGACTCTCTCATACATATCCCTGCTTAGGCAGGACCCCTGAAGCCTATTTGTCTCTTTCACAACAGTCTAGATGTCCTTTATTTACCCAAAAAGCCTTTAGGAAGAATGACAGAGGGAATGGTTAAAGAAAGGAGACATAACTTTGCCCAGTGCTGTTGAACATAGGGCCCTCCTAAAGGGAGACCTTTTGATCTGTCCCCATTAGTCTAATCTGATGAAGACTGGAAAAAAACATATTAATAATATTTATAATTTGCTCTATACCAGAGAGCCAACTAGGAGCCCATTGAGGTAGTCTAGACAGAAAGCACCGACCATGAACGCTAACACTACCCTTATTGTAAAGTTACTGTCAGATGTCCAACTAGCGAATCCAAGAAAGGAACTCCTGGGGCATTGTTCTTCCCACAAGTAATACTTTTATTGAAAACACTACATTGGAACAGAATGAGCAAAACCAGCTCTGAGTTTCCTGCTCAAAGGTCCACATAATTAAACTTTAATTCCCCATTTGGCCATCCCTTTCCGCCCATTCCAATGTCCAATCACATACACTCCTTTTGTTATGGGAACTGCCTGGATCAGTCAAACACCTGCGCAGAGTGACCTTGAAGGGAGGAACAGGATCTCATGATCTTCAGTGGAATTCTTGGCATTCCATTCCCGACCCAATTCAACCACCCCCCTCCCGCTTCTTGTTAAGTTGAGATCGGAGAAGAAACTGGGTAAAAAGCGAATCACTCTTCACAGATACATTACAGAGTCTTGCAAATCTAAATGTACGTCTCCCCACCTTACTTTTACTCTCCCCATAGCTAGGGAGAGTCCCATCTGAGTCCTCATCCCTTTGTTTATCACACTATTGTCTAAGCTGTGGCTCTTTCTCCTGTCTCCCAAGGTCATTTCCAAACACCATTACACCCAGCTTGGATTAGATGAAAAAAATAAAAAAAATAAAACAGGATTGAATTAGGATGAGAGAGCACAATAAAAGCTACCATTAGAAGCTGGACCTGAAGTTGGAAAGACATTGGGAAAGAAGATAATGACAACATGCTTAAGCATTATTTCTAAAAATGCCAACTGGAAGAGTCCATAAAATAACGGGTCAATTCAGTTCAAGGGAAATTAAACTTGCTATCATTTTGAGGACAATCTTTTGTAGCATCGTTACTTGGTACGTGCTTCTATCCAAGTGTAGGCAAATATATACATTACAGCCATATAATAAGGTTATGTCAAAAAAACAGCCATATCCGGGATAAATGCAATTTCAAATGACACAACCACAAGGGTCTGCTGTGATTTCAATTGTTTAGGAATAGAGAGACCAGGCCAGGTTTGAAAGGGCAACATCAAAGTTGTGTGAAGGAAGAATCAATCACACCAAGGGTGTGAGTGCATGTGAAAAGTCAAGGTGTCAGGCGCACCCACACAGTCAAAGCCCCTACAGCTTTTTAGGTGGACACATTAAAAAGGAATGGGACTTCCATTGCTTGTCGTCTTGATTTTGGTGACCTTCTCTTTCAGCTATCCCAGATACCTCTGTCTAAACTTCTGCTATCTCTGTTGTCATATAAACTGATGCAAGCTTGATCTAGAAACGTGATGGAGGGCTCAACACTGTCACACTACCACCTCAAAGAGAGAATTTCTTTATTGTCCCAGAGGGCAGAATTTAGCCAGGGGTAGTCAACCTTGGCTCTTTTATGACTCGTGGACTTCAATTCCCAGAATTCTGGGAGTTGAAGTCCACGAGTCATAAAAGAGCCAAGGTTGACTACCCCTGATTCTAGACCAAGACCGAAACTATCAAAATGACAAAAAAAAGGTGGTTTGAAAGAATATTTCTTACACTTCCAGCTATCAGGCTACTGCATGGTGTAGAAAGTTTCCCATTCTTTGCTGGAGGTTTTCAAACTGTGAACCCTTCAAAGAAAACCAGACTAAGAAACCAAAGTCGTGCAGGCCAATACTGCTTTTATTATAAAGTTATAGCATCTTGTAAGTGTGGATGCACTTCTACACTCCTTCCCTTTTAGCTTTGTGAGAACTAGAGAAGGTCTCGTCCGGGGCGCCGTCTCAGGTTACAGTTCTGCTTTGAACTCAGATTTCTTTTATCAGATCACTGTCCTGGCTTCTGTTCTTTCTCTTGTCTCTCAAAGTCATTCCTTTTGCCCATTACATCAACAGATGCTGGATGGTTCACCATCTGCAGATTCTGCAACAAGCAGGGGGGTTGGATTTGATGACCTCTCCATTCCCTTCCAACCCTATGATTCTTTGCATCTTTAGAAAAACGTCACTTGGCAGGTGTCCTTGCATCTGAATCCATGGGCCGGTCTCTCTTTAGCCCTCTTGCTTCAACCTGGCTTTAGCGGGACAACGTCTGTCAAGTGCAATCTCAACAGTTGCCTCAGCTAGTAAACTTCCTGTGACCTTCCTAACCCTGGGCAGAGCCTTGTGGCCATCTGCTTAACCCATCTCCTCTGTTCCATTTTTGCAGAGATGCTGAGGTTTTCCTCTTCTCCCAGTTAATTGGAACTAAGGCTAGGGAGACAGCTCACTTCACACAGCCAAAGTTTATATTGTGAATGATAAATATTTAGTTTCACTATCCCAGAGCCAGGCCTATGAAGACACTGTAGCTCTTCTCTGGAGCTGGCCAGATGTCTCCTGCTTTATGTGCACAAAAGCCAACCTAGAAATGTAACAAAATAAAAACAATATTGTTTAGCTGATTTTTCCTTACCTTCTGCTCTGGTCATCTTCTCCTCATTCCTTAGGACCTCTTCCTCTTTCACGTGTCTTTTTCTTCTCCCAACTGCACCAAACCATTGGAAGTAACAGTTCCACTTAGATGATTCATGCATTTGAAGAAATGGCTAAGACTGAAACTGAGCTGAAGAGATGATATGCAGTCCAATATACCACTCGTTGATGGTCAACCCCCAGGCCACTAAGAAGAGAAAACATATGCAGGTCTATCAAGTAGAAAAAGATTTATCAGGAGTATAATGTTGGCTGTTGGCCAGCTCTGAAAACTCAACTTCTTCTATCATGTCCTTTCAATGGGTGAATTTTAGTTTCTGAAAACTCTACATATTTCATATCATAGCTTCTCTGAACGCATGAATACATTGGATATAGACGTGTTCCAAATAACACATTTGTAAATCCCCGAACCAGCATTCTTTTCCAATTGGGTGTCCTTTAGTTAGGGTGGATTTTGAATCCCAGATCATAAACCAACACTTCTGGATAGTGGCTGTTTTAGGGATATAAAATTAATTGTTCATGATAAACTGGTTCTTAAGTTTTAGTATAGTTTAGACCAGCATGTTGGCTGGGAAATTCTGGGAATTGAGGTCCACGCAGCTTAATGCTGCCAAGGATGAGAAACACTGGTTTAGACTATTAATTTCTACATTGCTAATTAATGAATACTTTTTTTTGTTTCCAGGGGCTTCAAGGATTGATTGGAGGTCTCGGGCAGAAAGTAAGTTTTTATGGAAAGATTCAGTTCAGGGATTGAATTAGAAGGGGATGCAACTGAGCCAGTATTCAGAAACCGATGTGACATGATTCAAAACCGAATCAAGATAGACTTCCTAAATTGATTCAAGGCATCTGATTGGATAGAATTGACAAATCCTAGCTTTGGAGAATAAAGTAGTTGGTTCATGGAAAGGTGGTCCACCTAATTGTTTCCCTCCCATTTCAAGCTAGGAAATTATTATTTTCTTAATACATGATTAAGGGAATGATGCTGTGATTAAGAATAGTCGTTCACTGTTCGGTTAAGAAGCCTTAGCACCAATTGGGAAAATAGTGGATCAATGAACTAGAGTTAGTGATGAAATTGTAGGTTCAGAAAACTTAAATTGTGGCTGAAATACACTGAATTGCCTACTAAATTCTGTCATTCTTGGTCATTTTCTGCAGGGACAGAAGGGTGAGAAAGGTGACTTTGGACTTCAAGGAAAATCAGGCACCCCTGGGCGAGATGTAAGTTGCACAACAGGCATGTTTCTCTTTGGTGACATCGCTGTTGCTGCATTCCCCTTGATTCCTGTATTAGATGATGTTCAAACGATTCCCTGAGAATTACACCAATATTCAAACACCGTTTTTCCTAGGATCAGGATTTCACCTCTTTGTATCTTTGAGGAATGGGGTAGAGACAGGTTTTTTGTTGAGTTTCGATATTTATGTTTAATAGCTGTTCAGCTATTTTGCTATCCTGTACAGAGAGAAATAGATATAGGTAGTTGCATTTGAGGTCAAGCTTGAGAACAGTGTCCAAGCTGAACCACATCCCACTAATAAGTAAGCAATGTGTGCCAGGTTCAACCAATCCAAAGGCTTAATATTCCTGGCCAAGAACAATTTCTGTCTTGCTTCCTACTCTTTTCCTAACTAGAGGGAGAGTTGAGCATATTCAGGCTTAAGTAAACCTTATCCTCAGCCTATAGAGTAACAGTAACAATATAACAAAGTTGGAAGGTTCCTTGGAGGTCTTCTAGTCCAACCACCTGCTCAAGCAGGAAACCCTATACCAGGGGTAGGCAACCGTGGCTCTTTTATGACTCGTGGACTTCAACTCCAAGAATTCCTGAGTCAGCATAGCTGGCTCAGGAATTCTGGGAGTTGAAGTCCACGAGTCATAAAAGAGCCAAGGTTGCCTACCCTTGCCCTATACCATTTCAGATAAATGGTTGTCCAATCTCTTCTTTAAAACCTCCAATGATGGAGCACCCACAACTTCTGGAGGCAAGTCGTTCCACTGATTAATTGTTCTCACTGTCAGGAAATTTCTCCTTAATTCTAGGTTGCTTCTCTCCTTGATTAGTCACCATCTAATTACTTTAGTTTCAGAGTCCATCTTTGAGGAAGCTGATCGTGAATTCTATGAAGTGTAAGAAAAGGTCCTCTTCTAACAAAGCATGTTTTTTGCTATTTTCTAGGGCCGACCTGGAGAGCTGTGCATAGTGGGGCCCAAAGGCCAAAAGGTATTTATTAATTTATTTCATGAAATGTATACGCCACCCATCTCACTGTTATGTATTGTGCTAGTTGAAGACAGGGATGGGGTGGGGGTGGGGAATTCTTCTGATAGATAAACTTGACTAATGGCTGTAATTTTATCTTAGGGTGATCCAGGTTTCGTTGGCCCCGAAGGGCTTGCTGGAGAACCAGGACCTCCAGGGTTGCCAGGCCCACCTGGAATCGGCCTTCCAGGAAAACCAGTAAGGATTATTTTCTGACTTACCACTAGAAACTAGGAGATGGCGAGTTCTAGTCCCAACTTAGGCAAGAAAGCCAATTGGGTGACTTTGGGTCAATCACCAGGAGACTCCAAACACTAGTCCCAACTTAGGTATGAAAGTCTACTGGTGAAAGCTAACGGGTGGAAAGCAACGGGTGGAAGCTAACCAAAGAGAAAAGCAACCTAGAACTAAGGAGAAACTTCCTGACAGTTAGAACAATTAACCAGCGGAACAACCTGCCTCCAGAAGCGGTGAATGCTCCAACACTGGAAGTTTTTTAAAAGAAACTGGACAGCCATTTGTCCGAAATGGTATAGGGTTTCCTGCCTGAGCAGGGGGTTGGACTCGATGACCTCCAAGGTCCCTTCCAACTTTATTATTATTATTATTATTATTATTTGAGCCAGTCCCTTTCTCTCAGCCCAACCCACTTCATAAGATGGTTGTTATGGGGAACATAGGAGTAGGGAGGAGTATTAGGAATGCTCACTGTCTTGAATTATTTATAAAGTAATAGATGTGGGTTAAAAACCTAATACATAAATAAGGATCTCCCATCTACAGTAAATATTAACCAAGTTCAACCTTGTTTGCCTTCTATGCACAAACTAGGTCAGCCAGATACTGCCACCTGCTGATACTTTTTCTACTAGTGCATTAAACCTGTAATTCAGAGAAGACCTAAATTACTTAGGAGTTGATGGGAACACCATGAAGAGGTGTTCCAGTTTTACTGCTGGGCTTATTTTTCCAATTCAAGAAAATGGATGGAGGTTGAGGTAAAAGCAGATAAATTGCAGTAAGGGACGTGAGGGCATTTAACCCTTCTCCACTTCATCATTCTTCTGGCCTAAATATCTCATTTCCCCAAACTGCTATTTCATCCTTTCAAAGGAGATATATGTTCCTGGAGACTGGTTTTAGGTTGAGAAAATGTGGGCCTAGACTAAATTCAAAGAACTTTGAATCCAACAAGAAGATTCCACTAATACATCTCCCCAGGGCTTTTTTTGTCATAGAACACCCAGAACGGAGTTCCGGCACCTTTTTTGGATGGAACCTTGTAGGGTAGGCAAGGCGGGTTGGATGACGTGTGTGAGTTCTGGCACCTTTTTTTTTTTTTTTTTTTTTTTACAAAAAAAGCACTGTGTGTCCCTGATCACATCAAAATATTGCTTTAGCTCTGGGGAAACTTTTCAATTTTTGTAAAGGGTTTATCAATATTCATTTTGGTGCTCCTGAAGAGAGAATGATAGACGTGGCTTGATGATGGTGGTGGTGGTAGTATGGTGGTGATTATGAAGACGCCTATGTTTGTGATGATAATGATGAGGATTTTCTTGGGAAAATCTAGCCATAAGGCAGTGGTGGCGAACCTATGGCACGCGTGCCAGAGGCGGCACTCAGAGCTCTCTCTGTGGGCACACGTGCCATGCCCCAGAGATAGCAAATGTCCCTCTTCAACCAGCTGCCTGCTAACTTGCCGAGGTCCCACATGGCCCAATGCATCCCAGCACGGCTGGTTTCTCTCCCCCTGTCCCGTCCCTCATGGCCTCGCATGCTCTCCTTTTCCCAGGCACGACCCACTGCATCGCCTCCTCAGCTGTCGGCTGGCTGTCCAGCTCAGAGGCAGCTTCTCTGAACTGCTGTCGGTGGCTGCGGAGCCCCAGAGTGCACCGGTTGAGGGGCCGGCAGGCTGTGGCTGCTGACGGATATCATCAGCCCCCATGCACTTGCTGGCCTCTGTGTGCGGGGGCCGATGGTGTCAGGCAGGAGCCGCCCCGGCCCCTGCCTCACCTTGCCCCGTGGCAATGGCACCCCTTCCCTGCCTCGCCTCGCCTCACCCCACAAGATGAGCCCACTTTGGCCACACCCACACAGTCTGCCATGACCACCACAGCCATGCCCACTGGCACCCGGCGATAAATAATTGGGTTTTGGGTTGCGGTTTGGGCACTCGGTCTCTAAAAGGTTCGCCATCACTGCCATAAGGGATAGGTGACTGTTTTTGACTGAGCAGGAGTTGTTGTCTACCAGTTACATCCAATCAGATCTTAGACTTTTCTCCTCCTCTTGGGTGTTTCCCTCTTAGGAGACCTCTTTCAACACCAACCTCCAACTGTCTGTTGGTGACAGATGATTGTTCACATTCTTCGCATTTGTGCTCTCCCTTTAGCTAATTCCTCCAAATGGAGCAGGAATCTTCCAGCCCTTTAATCCTGAAACTGATAGGGATGCTTCAGATAAAAATCCATCCTAAAATAAAGTCCGAAGGCGGACTGAGCTGGAGATTTAAAATATGGAGTCAGTTCATTGCCTTTTCCTGTATGAACTTTGTTGGCTGGTAGATAGGTACGACCTCAGGTTTAATGTTTTTGCCCAGGGTACATTTATTTTGAGTTTCGTTACAATCTCAGTTACCTGTGATAGAGTTTTGATTTCCCCGTGATGGACAGACAGGCTAACATCTGGGGACAGATGTTTTATTACAGTTGCTTCTTTCAGTCAGTGCACTTTTTGTAGCATCCCTTTGAATGGTTCACCACTATTCCAGAAGTCATCATACTGATAAAATACCTATGGAGCGTAAGTCTAGACTTTCTTGTCAGGTTGTGTTTCCTTTCATTAATAGTGCTTTTGATGGCTCATTTTTCAACAACTTTAACAATTTGGTTTTCATTTCAGGGTGATCCCGGTGGGCCCCCAGGTTTGGCAGGAGAGAAGGTATGTTATGTACCTTTAAGAGCTTTTGTGATCTCCAATGGTTCTAATCTCAAAATGAACATCATGTCTTTTGTTCTTAACAGTGTTACTACTGGGCTAAATTTCATTGCCATCAATTTTGTTCTCTATTTCCAGGGCAGTTCAGGACCTCCAGGGGACAGTGGATCTCCTGGGAAGCCAGTAAGTCCTTTCTCCAGCATACAAATCAATGAACTAAAGGCCACAATATCTAAGGAGCTTCTAGTTGGTCATTGACTTCCAAGCTCTTGATTGGACTGTCTTACCCAAGTCATGGGACCAGAGAAAGATACTTGGGAAGCTGGATGATCCATTGATGAGTTTATCTTAAAATAGGCATCTTCAGCCTGCTTTCCTCCTGTTGTGGTCATGGTCTTCCATGGCTTGAGATACCTATCATCAAGCAGAATCAAGAGTTTCCTAGCTGTAGGGAACTAGGTGAAAAGAAGGACTTTTCACGATGACAAATGAATTCCTCTATGAGTTTTCAGCAATGTAGTCCCCATTCTGTTGGCAGAATAAAGGTCTACTCTCAGGTATTTGAAGCAGGAGATCTGCTCAATCTTGTGGCCATCTATCCCCCAGGAGTGGCTCTTGGGCCTTTTGGCAAAGGCCATGATTTTGGTTTTCTGATAATTGACTGCTAGTGGACTTCCATGCAGTACTGCGTCAATGCTCTCAATGTTTTTTAAGAGTGTTCTGAAAAGTATTGCTGCTTTGTCTGCACAGAGTAGAGCAAAGAGGTGTCTTCCAGAAAGCTTGTTGGAATGAAAGTTCAGATTGAGGACATGGCCCACCGTGGAGTTGATATAAAAATTGAATAAAGGTGGGGGAGGACAATATGCAGTCTTGCTTGGTGCCTGTCTCAGTTTGAACGGCTATTTAAACAGAAGAAAGGCAAAGAAATGAAACAATAAAGGAAAAAGGAAAAAAATTAGAGAGAGAGTTGCTTTCATTTTGCTGTGATTTGGAAAGGAGGCAGATCTTTCTCTTTCTTTGTTTCTCCCTTTTTTTGTTTCTCACTTTCTTTTTCATTTTTTCCCTCTTCCTTCCTTCCATCCCTTTTCTTTTCCTTTCTTTCTTTTACACATATATAAATATATACACATTTTACACAACCGTTTCAGTAACGGCTAACCATTTTTTTCTAAATCTGGAATTATTTCATCTGTATTTGCTTTCCCTTTTGGAGAAGTCCCCAGTGTGCACTGAATGTGTAAATTTACATAGCGTAGGCAATTTCCATGCCTATATTTACTTCTGACATATTTTTCCTATGAAAGAAAGGCATGTGAATGCTAGTTGTGTCCTGTTAGTTGGTGTTCTGAATATGGGTCCTCTAGCTGCTTATCCTTGGGAAGCAGTCCAACTTCGCTGCTGCCTATTTTCACATTCCATTGTGAACACTGCAATCTTAGAAAAAACTTGATTTGAATCCTTGTCAGCTCTCATTCTTTTTGTTTAGGGTTTAGGACAACAGATTTGGTGGAAAGTTGGAAGCATTTGCTACCCCCTCCCCATCGGTTCCTTTTCTTAAATTTTGTGTTTATGTCCTTGGTGTGTATGTGTGTGTGTGTCCTGATGTCATAAAAATGGACTTTTTGCAAAGGCTACTTTACGTCCCCAGTTCATATGAAGCTAAAATATATTGGCCCTACTAATATTTTGTGGCTCTGGATCAGTGGTTCTCAACCTGTGGGTCGGGACCCCATTTGGGGTCGATCGACCATTTCATGGGGGTCGCCAAGCAAGGCTGTCCGCCATTTTTTTTGTCCGCCATTTTTTTTGTCCGCCATTTTTCCCCCCTTTTCCGGCGGGTGCCTTACCTCCCTTGGGCTGGGCCAGCTGGTGGTCGGCCTGCTCCGTCTCTGCCACTTGCCAGCTATGCCTTGGCCGGCGCAGGGGGCGGAACCACGCATGCGCGGCGCTCCCGGGCAGGGAAAGTCCTCGACTTATGGGTAGTCCTCGACTTACGACCAGTTTAGTCCTCGACTTATGACCGGTTTAGTCCTCGACTTACGACCAGTTGGGGTTGCGGCATTAAAAAGGTTGAGAACCACTGCTCTGGATGATAAAGAGGCCATCAGGTTATTTGAGTAAAAGACTGGCAGAAACTGAGAAAATGTTCTTTTGATGTTGCTTTCCAAAAATGAAGCTTACTGGGCCTTTGGCTTCAATATACCTGGCAAAGAAATTACAAAGACTTTCTCTCACACACCATTCTGTTGTTGATTCTTACATACCTAATTCTGACATCTTAATCTGTCATGGAGGACAGTAATGCAATGAACGTTTTCTGTGTGTTTTCAAATAAACCTTTTATGTAGAATTCGGTGAATCCCTGAGGGGTCCTTTGATGGGGTTGGAGGAGGAAAAGAAGGCAGGGAGGGAAGGAGTATAAGGGAGAAAGTTTCATTCCTTTCTCTTTCCTACACACTTTACTTAATTTCACCCCCAAACATCTACTCAGAGTAAGCTGGCTTCCAAACAACTAGGGCTGTGATCTTCTCTCCTATTCTGGGCTCTGGACTCACCTTCAGAAGTGAGTTTCTCACAAACAATGAAACACTATTAGCAAACATCAACTTAAAAGACAGTGGCACCTGGAGACAACTCAAGGAAGTAGTAACTATCCATCCTTACTTGTGAGCGTCCTGATCAGAAAAACTAAAGCATTCTTCTATCTGTGTTGAGCAGCCCAGGTTTTTGCCTCTTGGTGATAGTGAGACCAGAATTGACCAGGATAGAAAAAGAGTTAGCAAGCAAACACCATTAGATATTACTGGCCTCCTTTACAGAAACCTTTCCCAAACTTGATGTATATATCTCAATTCCATTTGGCTGGAATTTAAGAGGATCAATCCACCACATCTAAAAAATGTTAAGCTGTTGAGGATGGCCTTGAAGCAAACATCCATGGAACAGGTAAAACCTGCCCCCCCCCCGGTCTTTGGAGGCAGCCCCAAAATTGGGCAGGGGGTGCTTGTTTGAGCCGTTCTGGGCCATGTCATGTAATAAAAAAAAAATATAGCAGTCAGCCACCCTCCACCTATGCTCTGGGGAACAGGACAGATGCTGGAAGAGTCACCACCATCTTATTCTGTCCCCAATCCTACTTTTCTCTGGGTTGAGAAAACTTTGTCTTCTGTTGGGATGAAGTTCCTCTGAACTTAATGGGACTGTCTTTGTGGGCGAGTGAGGAAGTGGTGAGACTTCAAGTAGGTTCAGAAAGCACATTGTCACAGTTCTGATATCTCTGTATGCATGCTGGATAGTTAGGAGATGGTCTTATTAGCATTTTATCAGCCAAATTAAAACTATTCCCCTTTCTCTGCAGGGAAAACCAGGAACCCCAGGCCTGAAAGGTGTAAAGGTAAGTATAAAGAAATCAGGATCAAGGCAGAGTTTCAAAGGGGTTAGAGGTTAGAGGAGGAGTAGGCAACCTCGGGTCTTTTATGACTCATGGACTTAAACTCCCAGAATTCCTGAGTCAGCATGGGGGAACTATGGCTCTCTTCACAACTTGTGGACTTCAACTCCCAGAATTCCTGAGCCAGCATGGGGAACTATGGTTGTCTTATGACTGGTGGACTTCAACTCCCAGAATTCCTGAGCCAGCATGGGGGAACTATGGCCCCCTTCATGACTTGTGGACTTCAACTCCCAGAATTCCTGAGCCAGCATGGGGGAACTATGGCCCCCTTCATGACTGGTGGACTTCAACTCCCAGAATTCCTGAGCCAGCATGGGGGAATTATGCCCCCTTTATGACTGGTGGACTTCAACTCCCAGAATTCCTGAGCCAGCATGGGGGAACTATGGTCCCTTTCATGACTTGTGGACTTCAACTCCCAGAATTCTTGAGCCAGTATGGCTCAGTTTGGAAACCTCTCCCTTTCCCCTCAGCATGGCTGGCTCAGGAATTCTGGGAGTTGAAGTCCATGAGTCATAAAAGAGCCGAGGTTGCCTACCCCTGGTTAGAGAATGCTAGGATGGATTATAGTTTTTGTTTGTACTTTTACTCTTTGGGGAATTCGGTTGGGGTTTCCTTTTCCTAGTGTCATTAGTTTCCGGTTCCTTTGTTGTTCTTTGTGTTCAGTGCATCTTTATGCTTTCCCAACAGGGTGATCCATGTGAAGTTTGCCCTACTATTACGGATGGAAACCAAATTGGCCTTCCTGGGAATCCAGGAGCCAAGGGGGAACCTGGACCGCCTGGGAAACCCGGCAAATCGGTGAGTCCTCTTCATGGATTGCTTTGTTCTTTGAGGTCATGCTGGAGAAGCCATCCAGATGCTCTTGGAAAAGGGGAATGTGCTGGACTGATGAGCTAGTGGAAATGACTTCTGAAGCCTTCCATGGATTCTCCTTTCTTTTCCTTTTTGCAGGACAAACCTGGGCCCCTAGGAACTAAAGGCAACAGGGTAAGTGTGGGATTCAGCTCCTGCGGGGAAAAGAGAAAGGGAAGAAGAGATTATAGGTGCAGTTCTATGGTTCACGCAAGATCCCTGATGGTGCAGTGATTTGAATGCAGTACGGCAGGCAAATTTTTCCCACAGCCTGCAGTTTGATCCTGATGGGCTCAAGGTTGACTCAGCCTTCCATCCTTTTGAGGTCAGTAAAATGAGGCCAGATTGTTGGGGGCAACGTGCTGACTCTGTAAACTTCTCAGAGAGGGCTGAAAAGCACTGTGAAGCAGTATATAAGTCTACGTGCTACTGCAATCTGCAGAATGAAACCCCCAGATTTAGCCTCTTGTCTTGGGTATTTCCAGTTTTACAAAATATGGTGTAGCTAATCCTAGGCTAGACCAAATCAGACCTTTGACTCCAGTTTAGGTTGAGAGATGGATTGAGTTATTGAATATTCCAGTGGGTACTTAGCAAAATACACCTTCTCAGCCCAAGGCGCCAAATGGAAGTCTTGTAATACACATTTTCCATTTAAAAACAATGCATTAGGGGAAAGTCTGCCTAAAATGCATAGGCTTAGAAACGAATGCATCAGTAGGGCTTATACTAGAGAAAAGAATTGCATTTATGTATCTAAGTAAAAAGTTGTGATAGGGGGCAGAGGTCACTATCTCTGGGCGCAACTTGGCACATAAAAAATTGTGTTATGGAATTTAAAAGGAGCAAAGAGTAGCAAGCAGGAATTGACAAATATAGCGAAATATATTTATGTATTTATGCGTGTGTCTTTGAAACAAAGAGAAAGGTACAAATTAATAGTTCAGAAGAAAAGGGGGGGGCTGATCTTGTGGTATGTAAATAATGAATGGATGCGGGGAATTTACTGATGTGCATTTTAGCCTTTATGCTTAATTATGAATGGGAGAGCTAAAAAGGATGTCGGTTGGTATGAATTAGTGGCATTTTGGTGATTATGGATGCATATGAAAGCAGAAATCGATAGACTGCTGATCAGTGCATTTTATGCTCCGGTGAATAGTAATAGTGGAAGAATTGGAGATGACTTTTGAGGAAAAATTGTGCAACATTCTGAATGTATATGACCCAGGACAGATAAATATTCATTTTAGTGACTTGCTTGGATGACCGGGAATGAGGTGAGAGAGAACAGAAAAAGTGATTGTGCCATTAGGAGACCCAATAATGAAGGAGTAAGGTGAATGTTTGGTGAGCAGAGACATGGCTCTTAGTTTCAAAGACATGGTTTAAGTTTAAATCTCCATGCATACACTTGGCATAGGAAGAACTGTAAATCTAAAGCAATGGCTGGTTTCATTTTTTTTTAAATGGTTATTGGTTGATTAGACAGACAGAAAGAAAAATAAGGGCTACAAAACCCAGAAGAAAGTAATAGGCTGTTGTATATTAATATTAATATATAAATTCAATAAATAATAAANATAATAAATAATAATAATAATATTTGCCTAGATCCAAACATTAAATCTCGATCACAGAGAAGAATATTTATACTGTTCTCATTACTTAGTTACGGAATAATGAGCTGTTGCATGTTATCTACCCCAGACAGAAGCATCTGCAGGGAATGGTAGTGGGTGGGTGCGTGTTAAACTGTCAACGTGACATCCACAACTAAGGAATCAAAACCCCACCTGGATGGCCCTCATTTCAGATTATAAATCTAATATGTATAGGAAATGACCAGGCTGAGACGAGGCAGGGATCAAACGCGTCATATGTCACGAGTCCCTGCGCGCCAGCAATAGCTGTACATCCAGCCCACCTTGAATGCCTCTCTTATCTCCCACTCATTTGGTTTGACCGTTAGTAGTTCAGATTCCTGCAGAGAGCTTAAGTTTGCAATAAATCTTTATACTCATTTGAACTGCCTGGATCTCCCGATTTCCAGGCACTTGACAGTGTGGCTCCATAACAAAACAAAGACACCAAATAGGCATGCCATATTCCTATATTGAAGAATTTCACATTAATTCAAAATCACATTCACATCTTCAAACCATATTAATTTCCCCAAAGCCATGCTAAAAGTACTTAGGGCTATGAGACCCGAGTAGAACAATCATATGATAAAACCACCTCTCACGTATAAGTGTCCCCTCTGTTGTTTTATATTTTCTGCACTATTAACAGCCAATCCTTTTTTAAATATATATATATAAAGATTTTATTGGTTTTTCTTTTCATAAACATATCTTAATTTTTCCAATCAACGAGTTGTCTGGGTCGACGAATTTTCTGATCCCTATTGTGAGGACTACCTGTAAGAATAAGGAGAGGTAAAGGGAATATTCTTGACCAATTCCATGAAATATGTTGGCAGGCCTGATGCTATGTGCAGAGTCTGTGAGAAATTCTCTTCCTGACTACTTGGGCATTACTTATTAATTAAGATAACAGCTGCCTGGCCAGTTCACAAGGGAGGCTCACACGCCCGAAAAGGCTCCTGACTTGGCAACCTGCATGATGGATTGGATTCTAAAATGAAAGCAAGCCAGTTGCTGGATTCTCTGGAAATTTTTCCTGTCCCCTTTCAATAAATCCTGTTGAACTCAGGGAGAATCTACTTTCTGTTGAAGAGGTTGCCAAGAGCTTCACAACAGATGAGGCAATAATTCCATGTGCAATATTTATGCATTTATTTGTCAAAATTTATAGTGGCCACCCATCTCACAAACAAGTGGCACTGGACAGCCTACAACAACTGAAAAACAGTT